ACCTGGGTGGCATGGAGTCCACCAAGTCTTAGCAACGCTTGAGGGGAATATGGCCTCATTCCTCCTGCACAAATTGCCACAGCTGCGGCTTAGAAGTCGGAAACTTCTTTAATACGTAGCCCTTGATGTCCCCCATAAGTTTTCGATCGGAATAATATCCGGGGACTGTGCAGGCCATGGCAGTGCATCCACTTTTTCATTAAGAACCCACTCCTTGGCCACCTTGCTGGTATGATTAGGGTCACTGTCCTGCTGAAATGTCCAAATTAATGGCATATTTTCATCAGGATACGGCTGCAAGACAGTTTTTAATATTTCGACATAAACATAATTGTCTTTGATCCCACCGATCATATTTACGGGACCTAAAACGTTGTATGAAAAGTATACCCATACCATGATTTTTAGGCCACCGTGTTTTACTGTCTTCAGCGTATGGTTTGGGGGGTACTATCTATTTGGAGGTCTTGTCTTGTCCTATTCCACCAAATAAAACCAGTTTGGAGTCATTTGTCCAAAGGATATTACGCCATTTGAATACTGGCAGTTCAAGTGGCTATTGGCGAACTCGGATCTTGCCTTGATATGCCTTTAACCAAGCAGTGACATTTTCCATGGACTTCGCGAATCTAAAAATTCTTCAATAAGTCCCCGGCGAATAGTCCCATGACTGATTCCCATGCCAATTCCCGCTCATATATCCCTAGAGGATGCAAAAGGACGAGCTTTGCTGAAGCGAAGTACGCGTCGAGCCTGTACAATTGTGTTTTTGCGAATCGTACCTCGGTTTTTTTGGGTTCGGTTCATATTTTATGACTTATAAACTATTTTAAAAGAACAATTTGAAAGATTTAGAGACTCTTTACATGTTTTGCCCTTCTTTCTAGGCTAAATTATCTGATATCTTTCTCTCATGGAGCAGTGAGGTCCTGCGCCCACTAAAATAATTTTTTTGCGTTGTAAAGGTGTATTATAGTATAAACTATAATAACGACCTTAATTAAAGTCATTTTTTACAAAATTAAAAGAAATTTCGGCACTTTTTGCGAAAGAAAATTAAAAACTGCTATTTCAGTGATCGGTCAAAACGAGCTGCATATGTGAAAAATATCAATAAAACATAAAAATAGAGCAAATCTAACGGAATTTTTTCTTGATTCTTATCTTTATGTTCCATTTTACAAAAACAATGTGCAATAGATCAGCTTGCAAAAAGGAATATGTACAAAAAAACGTTTTGAAGTTGTTCGTCTGTCGCACTGCTATTTCCGTGAACACAGCTGTAGATAAAACGAATTCATTTTATAAAATAAATGCTTTTAGAAAAAGTGGATTTAATGAATTAATATTTAATGCATTTTTAGATTCTTTTTTAATATAGTCTTATCTATTTTTTAATTTATAGATTCCTATTTATATTCTCCCATTATTAGACCTATGAACCACTGTTCACGGATCTCAATAAGGAAAGGATGGGTCCGGTGTACTGCCAATTCTCTGGTAGAATAAGATGAAATAACACCGTCCACTAATGCGCATTGATTTTCGCATTTCCAATGCCGTCATTTTCCATTGTTATTCAGGTTTCTCCATTTTCCTCCGATGCTGTTGTTTAGCAACGGATCCGTCGGTGAGCTAATGGCAGCGGATGTGGTTAAAAGCATTTGCCTGGCTACCTTTTTTCATAGACCATTAAATTTGCATTTGCCGACGCTGACTGGCGCAATTGGCTGTCAGGAGGGCTTCATCTCAACTTGGCAGTTGCAGGGCCTGGAGTATGCATGGGTAATAGACTTGGTAATAAATATTTAATAGAAAATTTCTAAGATAATAGCGTTGAGAGCGAATATATTGCTACCTGGTTTATCCTCAGTTTACACACATAAATATTATTAATTTCTTATAAAGGTTTTTAGATTTATCCTGTTTTTTCAGGAACTAATATCGTTTTTTACCATTCATATAAGAATTCAGGGAGTAAGCTTACTCTTCCTTTATATTTATGAAATATTTCTGTAAATTATGTAGCTTAACTAAAAATGTCCAGGGGAATAGCCGAAATCCTTTAAACTCATTTCAACTATCCGTGAAAATTTGTTCCGACATTTGAAATCCTTTTAAAGTTCCACCGTCAGCACCGCTAAACCGTTGGCACGTGCCCGATGCATAAATCGAAGTGGGGATGAGTATTGTCGACATCTGCTTCTGGTCTGGCGCACATGAATCATTCATGAATCGTTTTGGCACAAATGCAAATCGTGCAAATCTTTACAACAAACAAAAGCCTCCCCCGACGCGTCGCAACGGTCGCACCCGCATGGCGACACGGAAAACGCGAGCTAAACAATGTAAAATGTTAAATAATTATTTAAAACAGTTGAACGGACGGGGCAGAGTCGGTTGCGCATTGAAAGGCAACAATAAAATGTTTACTGTTTACTTTTTGGCAAATTTATGGCCTAATGCAGCTGCCACTTGACCAACCCTCTCGTAAATCCGAAGCAAATGCAAAAAAACCTATGCAGAAAAAAAAATTAAATAAAAATAATGCATACTACGGGCTGATTTTGAAATTTATGCAAATAACCCAATGCAACAAAAAGAATTATTTACATTATGTGAACACTAGAATACGAGAAATGTATTAAAAATTGAACCAAATCATATGTAAATGATTTCAAATGGGCTAACGTGGCCAGCTAATAATATATGATTATAATCAGATAATTATCTAGAAACTGTCATTTCTATCAAAAGAATTATTAAACATATTTTTTAGAAATTTTACTCCTCAAAAATGTAATACAACTTGTCTTTTTATTAAATTTAAAGCTACCAGTAAGCATTTTATTTAGTAAACAAAATCAAATTGCAGCCTTTAATATGTTAGCCAAATATACATTCATGAATGGCAGACCCAACAATCACGCTTCTGTTGAGTTTAATTCGATTTGCGCCAAATTGTGCTGAGCTGTCGAATCGAATGCCTGAACAACAGCGACCACAGAGTGGTAAATATGTAATCTGTCAAATCAGGACATTAAATTAAATAACACCTTCGGCACTGCTAAGCACAAGCAAGCCCACGGCCAAATGGGAGGAAGCTGGGCAAACAAATGTTTCGCCGCCTCGAGAGTGGAAATTTTAAGGCAAAATGCGAATACGAATGGGAATGCGACTGCGACTGCTACTGCTACTGCGAGCCAACCTGGCAATTATATTTATGTTCCCATTTACCAAGGGGCATTCTGTTTACTTGAAAGCAATTAAAAGCAAACCAGAAGCAGGAATACAAACACACCCAAGCCCCCCGATACTTCATCATATTTGTGTGCGAATATTTGCTTAGTTCTGGCCCCCAAGATAGGGGTTGAGTGGTTAGTGGTGGACGAAGGTGGCGGGAGGAGCCAGGGCGCAGGCACTCCTGGATACTCCAAGTGAAAGGCCTCGCAGTAAAATGGCCACTCAGGAAACGAAGTTCGTTTATTGTGTCAGGGATATATATCTTTTCTGAATTGTTTGTCTGAGTGCGCTCGCATCCTGGAATGTAGACGAGCGTACGTACTAGCGAGTCAGAGCGATGCACAAATAACCTACGGGGCTATAAAAGAAATACGTTTACTACGTACTAAAATTGAGTAAACGCTGCCATTACACAGGCTGCAGCAGTCAGAGGTCCTCGGCTCCTCCTGCCACCCGCTTTCTACCACCTACAGCCTACCTCCTGCCTTCTGAGGTTCCGAGTTTCCAGTTGTGTTTTGTCCTGGGTCTTATTTGTGCTCTGTCCTGCCGTGCTCTATTATTTTGAGTGCACACAACTTCATGCAGTAAAAAAGACAATACTCGAACAATCCTGGAAGGAGGACGCCACATGAATTGTCCGGCACAGGGACATGGGCTTTGGCACGGCTCTAGTTTCCCACTCATCAATTAATCTCGTTTGCAGCGTTTGCTCAAATCAATTAGGAACTACCACACTCCGATTGATGATAATCGAATTAACCTCGTTTGGGCAAAACAATGACAACAAGCGATGAGGATATCGATGTCTTTATATGTTAAATCGTGATGGGATTGTCAGAGCCAAGAGAATACACAATTGAAACAAAAATTTGTTATATATAAAAGTAGAATAAAGACATTAGCAGTTTCTATAACTATTTAAATACCATAAAATAGAAAATACTTGAAATTATTATTTTTATTAAATCAAAGTTCTCGAAAAACTTAATAGGATTTTATTCAACAAGTTCAGCTACATTTCAGTTTTTATGATTTTATAATTATTTGGTCCAGAAACAAAAGACAATTATAATTAAAAAATTATATAAATAATTAACTATACTTATCAAGGTCTTAAATTTTTTTTTCCCAATAAGCAACCTTTAATTTAACTCAAATAATTTAAAGAATTGCCTTACTTGCCACCGTGTATCTTGTGCGACCAAATTCAAATGCAAATGTCGATTTTAACAATCATCAGCTCAGTCAAAGCCTTAACTTGAGGCTAATGGAATGGAAGAGTGTAACATCCAGCCAGCCACCTGACTTGCCACTTTGCCAACATTTACATTTACATTCGCAAAACACTTGCGGACTCGGATTCGGGCAGGATGAACTGTGAGATACAGATACAGTTCAAGGTACATTTTGAGTAACAATCAAAGCTTTGCATTCAGGGCACCTCCTCTGATGGGAAAAATGTTCGATTTCAAGTGGCTTACCACATAAATTTGCACTTTGCTTTGTTTACAAAGCAATCGAACGAACAAAAAAAAAATTTACAAAAAAAAAAGAGACACGCAAACAAGAAAAATTGGCAATTGAAAGATTGAAATAGAGAGAGGTTCAGGTTGGCTCAGATTGGCTTAAGGTAATTGGGATAATATTCTACCCATTAAATTCGTCGTGGGACATTTCAATTATTTGTTGTGTTTTGTTTATTATTGATATAATTTAATAACAAATAAAAGAGGTGCAAAGATAACCAGAAAATCGTATTTTAGTGCCTTCATTTTTCAATACTTTAATTATATAATTTCTTTAATTATCATTGATATAAGCGAATGATTTAAAATGTAATCCGTGAATAAATATAACCATGCTTTTCAAGTTTTATTACTTCCTTTCTATATCTTTATTAAGTGCTTTTGTTGGGTTCCTGGGGTGGCTTTACCAGCATGGCACTCAACTCCTTGGCATCATTTGTCAGGTAGTGACGAGATCTCTTCTGCAAGTCCTCGGATTCTTGAACGCGCCTAGATAACTTCGCCCTGATTTCACTGTTCAACCTTTGGCTGCCATTGTCAGGTCGTTCAAGTTTTCTGTATATATTATGCAAGTCCAGATATATATCAGCAATGTCTTGATCAACCGCTTGCATTTGTTGCATAGAAGTAGCAATGGAATCTTTCATATACGTCATGTCCTTGATGAGCTTGTCGTTCAAGTAGAGTTCGCACTTAACCCTGGGCATTATCAAGTCAATTAAGTCATCCACGTTTAAGTCACTGCAATGGATTACAGATTGTATCTTTTCTAAGGTACTATTCACAATTTGGTCCAGTTGCAAAATTTTAGGATTTTCTGCTTCAAGGGAATTGCTGCTGATGTAGTGATGGGATTCCATTTTTTTAGGCTGGCTTATAGTTTCCGAGCTTTCTATATTTTCTACACCATTTTCCTCCATAATTGTTGGCCCATGAAAACAAAGAATTTTATGAAGAATACAAATTTATTGTGGTTTCCAGAATTTTGAACAGATTTTTAGAATAAAAGTAATTTATGGCAGGCAGCTTGCTGGGGTTTTTTTTTTAAATCTATATTTTCTAGGGTAAGTTAATAAATTTATATATTTTTACTAGAAGACCCTAAACTTTTGGTCGACGTTCACAATTTTTTTATTGCCTTTAAATTTATAAAATATACATAAATATAAAAACACACACATTTTCCTTTGGGTATTTCTTTAGGAAGCTAAAAGAGTACCAAAACAAAAACAAACCAATCTAAAAGCAACAGTTTCCTAAAGACCAGCTTTTGCTATTTGGCTTTAAGCATTGAAAAATGGATCATGTTGCATGCGAATATTCAACAAAAATCAGCAGCATATTTCCCTGATTTATCCCTGGGCTGCAGGGCCTAATTCAATTGCCTAAATGGCCAACTGGCCGCTATTTCCTGCATGCAGTGCACAAACCCACTCACTTGAACCGGCTCTTGTGCTCCGAGCCAGCTTTTGTCCAGTTGGATATTTCGTTTCATTTTTATGAGGCTTGCAAAAAATAGCCAGTCGAGTGGAGTGGAGCTGCGATGGCCGATGGTGGACGATGACCAAGTCCATGGAGAGTTCAGCGCAACGCTGAGCGCTGTCAACAATCACGAACCAATTGTCTATAAATACCAGCAGCGTTAAAGCAAACTCATTCGGATCGGGCCAGTCCCTGGCCCTGATTCCGAGCTGGCCTGGGACCCCGGCAACCCACTGCGATTTCCGCCCTGTCGTTTTTCATTACATCGCATGTAACTTCCGGGCTGTTAAAGCGACACGCACCGTGCTCCTGTCCTCGAGTGGAGTCCAGGCTCCTGGCCGTTGTCATGGCTGCTGACAGCCGTGCCAACAAATTTACCAGCTGTGAGCGTGACTCACGAGGCATGGGGCTTGTACCTTCGATGATGTCAATAACATGAGAGTTTTTACAATGTGTAGTCCTTCATCTTGGCTATAGGTTGAAATATAAATAATATAGGATTTTTAAGGAAACTTATTTAAGTCTCGAATTAGAGTGATACTTTTTCTTGGCTATAGCTTGATTTTCTCAGATTAGATTTAGATTTTCTGCAATCCTATAGATACTCTTTAAAGTTCTACAAGTTGTTCGACACTTAGGCGTAATTTTTTCTTTAAATTTAGAGACATTACATCTTTAATTATGCTACTATTAGGAATTTATTTAATTAATACAAGTACAAATACTTTGAAGTATATAAAAATTTGGGTGTTATTAATTTATTGAATGACTAATCCCCATCACGATAGCATCTCTAGAAGCAACGCACACTCCATCGCCATTGGCACGCCTTGACTCGGGCTCTCGGGTTCCACATCCTTCTGCTATGCCACCGCATCCCTCCTGGACTCCACTAAGCCCGCCCCCACGAGCCCGACTGATTCAGTGTTTGTCCGCACGTTTAGAACTGGAAATGACAAATTCACTGTAGGTGGGCCCAGCGCTGTCGCTGCCTCGGCCCAACTGCTCCCCGCTTAACTCCGGCAACACGTTTGCGACTCAGCAAACACCATCATCAATTTCCGTGGGGAAATCACACAAATTTTTGCACAAACAAAATGTTTGGTTGGCCACTGGGCAGCAGCAGGAGCAGGCAAAAAACAGCGAATTGCCCACGAATTTTTGCATGTGACTCTGCGGTGTGGGTTTATCTTCTGTATGCCGGTTGGTTTTTGGACTGCGGCTTAGACCCGGACCATATCTACATATTTGGGCGGAATATTGAAAAAAAAAAATTAACTAAATCTGGATTTGTGTTCATCAACTCGGTATTTGAGTATATTTCGTGCCTTTGATAGCTGGTAAGCTGGTCAATACACTTGGAATTGAGTGATCTTATTTTGGTGAAAGATGGGAGCATTTTGGGGCTGAATTATAATTAATATATATTTATTTTATATGAATTTATATATCTATAAATATTAACAACAGCTACCCCTAGACCTAGAGGCAAGTATCTAATATTTGTCTGAACTAATCCGAACACAATCCTTACTATACATCCTCCCTTGCCTCATTACGATTTCTAAGTTTTCGCCAAATTAGAAGCAGCTTTCGCTCATTTGTTGAGCCCACTTTCTGGGGGTCAAAAATCCGATCAAATTAAGACGAGGGGTGAAGTCGGTCCCAACTTTATATCTTTTTGTGGCTGTGGCTTGTTCCGGAAGTGGATGTACTTTTCCCGGTTATTGTTGGCAAGTAAAGCTGGGCCTTGTAATTTGCCTGCTACTTCTGGTGAACCGTAAAACTTTCAAAAAGTCATCAAAAGTTTATTTAGACGGGACAACCTAAGTCGGAGCACAGTTTTCTCCGCTTGACTTTATTTTTTCTGCACTCTGCATATGTTAACGGCACAATTTTCAACGCTTGCAAGTTGCTGGAAACTTTTTAAAGGCCTCTCCCTGTCGAGTCCATTTGGGCGATCATAATTTAAGTTGAGCACGGTCTTTAAGTTATTTGAGCGCATTGTGGGGTTAAGGGAGGAAGAGAGCTAATTAGCCAAAGCCAATGGGAAACGTACAAAAGCGAACTCGATTCGATGTTATCGGGTTGCGCCCCTTATCCCCACGCGGCGAAGCTCGTTCCTGCCCCCCATTCACTCTCGCTTCTCGTTGTAATTGCAAAAGTTTATCTTTATCTCGGGCAAGCAGCAACTCGCAGCAGCTGCAGCTACATCAGCAACTAAAGCGGCAAATGGTCGCATTAAAGTAATTACATTCACTGCTCTCATTGCTGTCCAAGCCCATGCAAAGCTGAGGCTACCTGAGACGAAACCCAAAGACGTAGTAAAGGATAAAACTGGGAGCGAAAAGGATACAAGCTCTAGAATACCCGTTCATCCAGTATGCTTGGGCACTTTGTTTATCATTCATTTAGAGCTAGAAGTTTTAGACGTGGTTTTGTAATGGATTTTAAAAAACTCCAATAAATATTTCCTAATAAGTGATTGTTAATTTTTAAGTTCTGAACTGTTATATTCAATTAATTAAATATAAATCAAATTCCATTTCTTGAACCATTTCATAAACTAATCTCTCAGAAACCAATACACCCCAAAGTGCCAAGAGCAAGGAGTATCTCAAGACGAGTCCTTCATCCAATGCCAATTTGCTAGCAGAAACCGAAACGCATTCGACTTGCTAAAGAATGAAATAAGAGAAGACGGTAAATGGTGTGCTGATGATTCCCAGGGGGGAGTCGGGCGAATTTCCCGAAATAGTCGAGAAAGTTGCTGGGCAAATTCGTGGTAATCAATCAAATACATACCTTAAATTCCCTTAAAGAAAATCAGAAATAAGCTCATTCTCCTATCCAGCAACGCCTTGTGAATAGCATTAGAAATCTCCCAGAATTGGCCAGAACAGAGCCATTCGAAAGTCCCTTGACTTGTTGCCTCCTTGGCCTAGTTTATTACCAACTCGCATTCACATTCGCGCTGATGACAGTCGTCCAGTGCACAGCAGCAGCAGCTGTGCTCTATTCGAGGGCAGTCTCACTTAAGAAGATTAAAGACGGTTCCTTGGCCAGAAGCTAGCTGCAGGACCTGGCCTTTTTTTCCGCACGCCAGTTCAATTTTCAATTTTCCGGCTTTTCGCGGTCTGCCTATATGTATGCGGTGTGTGACAACTTCATTTGTTTGCGGCATCTCCTACATTCGATTCTAAAAGCCGCAAAGCTGAATGGATTTTAATGGAACGAATACTCAGTTTTCTTGCCTTTAATTGGTTAGAAGTATGGTATTTCATACATTTTGTAGTCTAGGAAATTCTTTGAAAGTGTAAAAATTATTGGTATACTAAAAGATTCGACAAATTTTCAAACCCAACGCATTTTTGGATAACTAGAATTGCTGGTTTGAAATGAATAGCTCAAGGTTTTATCAATTCTGTCATCTCAGACAAAAGTATTACCCCAGTGACATCCTCTACCTGTTTTGGCTATATCCAGCCAATCTCTCCTGTCGAGTCCCATCATTTCCCCCCTCTAACAAAAGACACATTTCGAGCTGAAAACATATTTCTGCTGCATTTGTTGTCGCTCCGTTCGTCAGCCAAAATGCAAATATCGCACTAAGCATAAATCGAAGCATTTCCATAAATTCCCACTGTGTCGACGACGTTTCGCCAGCTCACACTCTCGCCCTCCATCGCCATCTCTGCAACACTTTATCCCCTTGCCGCGGCTTCTCCTGTCTTTCACCGAAACGAGGCGAAAAATAATAAAAACTAAAAAATTGTCAACGAAACAGTGAGACTCGAGAACAATGTGTTTCACTATTTGCAATCGAATTTGGCACTGTTGATTTGCCATGCCTCCCACCAGTTCCACCAAGGACGTTCGTATTCCATTTGATTTTTATGCTGTTTCGGTGGAGGGAAAAAGTGTAAATGCATCTATTGGTTTTCGAATTAGAAGCGTTTATAGTGGTGTTAGCTTTTATTTGCTCAGTGATATGCATATGGGAATATACTGACAAAAAAATATATGATATTTTGAATGTAGTTTTAATAATATTCTTAGAGTATTTAAAAACTTTATCTGTAATAGTAGAGTATTAATATTTTTCTACAAACCCAATACAAGACATTTTCACATTAAAGTCTTATAAATTTATGCCTTTTCTCCTCTTTACCCAAAAAGTCCCACAGAACTCTTATACGGATATTTCGCAAAGCCGGCTATTGAGTTCGGCTCGCGTACTGTTGCTCCAGTTTCTGGCTTTCTCCGCAGCGCCATTTCCGGTTGGGCCTACCGCAAGCAGAAACTTTGTCAACGCTCGCCAGCTCTCCATATTCAGCCCTCGCTCCTCTCAGACGGCGCTCTTTTGCCAGCATATTCACTCTTTTCCACCGAATGTTCTCTCTCTTACCCCGAATTTTCCCTCTGAAGCCGGAGAATCGGGCGCCCCGTCGCTCTGTGTGTCAGTTGAGTTTATGTCTTCATCGGATTGGGTCTGCTCGAAATTTATTTGCATGCCGGTCAGGCCTTACCCCTTGGAGTATGCTCT